AGTGTAAATAATTGCATTAGGTGAGCCAAACCCTAGAGACTGATGGGTTCATAACATACACTTCCAGAGGGGATTTTCTTCTACTTTCATTTTTCTAGGGCTGGGATTTGTGCCCAGAGCCTAGCACAAGTCTTCTTCCACTGTGCTGCATCCACAGCCGTTGGATATTCACCGAGGCACTGGTGCCTCATACATGTAATCCTACCTACTCAGGAGGCTGAGATTTGAGGAGTAAAGTTTGAGGCTAACATGAACAAGAAAGTCTGTGACTATTACCTCCAATTACCTACCAACAAATCCAGAAGTTCAACTGTGACTCTAGTGGTAGAGTGTTAGCCTTGAGAGAGAGAGAGAGAGAGAGAGAGAGAGAGAGAGAGAGAGAGAGAGAGAGAGAGAATAAACAATCAGGGAGGGTACCCAGGCCCTGAGGTGAAGACCCAACTCAACCACAAATAGTTATTTGTTTGTTCGTTTGTTTTTAAATTACTCAGCATTGTGGCTCAGACTGGCCTTGAACTTGCTGTGCAGCTCATGCTGGCCTCTGATCATACTTCTCCCACCTGGTATTATAGGCAGGCTCCACCATATTGGCTCCAGAAGAATGTGTTTTGCTGAAATGGATGATGCTAATGTGTTGTGAGTTTGATGATGCTAAAAGTGCAAGTTCCGGGTTGACTCTGGGAATGCTGAGACTTATCACTCACCCAGAGCTGGGAAGCATTTGGAAATTCCTTTCCTGGGTAGCTACCCGAGTTTGTGTGTGACACTGCAAATATGTTTCTAGAGCAGAAGTTCCAACCTATCACAGAGGACTTTGCAAAGCCAGAGAAAGTGGGGCTGATGGGGTCAGGTGGCCAGGATAGTGAGAACTAGGCAGACAGCAGGAGAGTGCACTGAGCCCAAGAGACCACAGCTGCTCATGGGTTCCCAGGGGAGAATGAACCACAAGCTGACCTGCACAGGGCTGCAGCACAGCAGGGAGCAGTCTGCAGGTGGTAGGCCTGTCCCTGGACACTGGCCCAGCTAGATGTGGACAGAGAGGTTTCCTTGAGGGAAGAGGTTCCCCGTGTTCTGTGCAGTACAGCCCAGGGGTTGGCAGGCAGAGGACATTTAATGAATGTTAGTTGCTGGAAGGAAGGAGCCCTGTTGTCTGCATTGCAAAGTGGAGAAAATGACAACCCCAAGCGCTTCTAGCTCTCCTTCCAGTTGCTCAGATTCTTCTCTTGCCTTTCCTTGCACTTCTCAGCATCCCTGAGAACTCTTGTACATTCTGAACTGCTTGAGATTTATTACATTCTCCATGTGTGTGTGTGTGTGTTTGTGTGTGTGTGTGTGTGCTGATCCTGAGACTTGAACTCAGGGCCTGTCCCTGAGCCTTTTTACTCTAGGTTAGTCCTCTACCACTTGACTCACAAGATCACTTTCAGCTTTTGGGGGGTTAACTGGGGATGGAAGTCTTCAGGACTTCCCTATGTAGGCTGATGCCAAACCACAATCTTCAAATCTCAGCCTCCTAGGTAACTAGAATTAGTGCTGTGAGCCACCAGCACTTAGCTCAGACATGAATGTTTTAGTTCTATCCATAAATTAGATGTCAAGAAAGGCTATAAATAATGATTTTACTACCCACGGTGCCACTGCACCTGTTGAGAGTATAAATTGGAATCGACCACAATGGCATCCAAACCACTTACTGAGAAAAAGTGAAGAGGGGTCATGAATTTGTTACTTGCTGTGTGAATATTCTGGGAAGCACAATGCAGCCTTATACTTCCAAATTGGGATAAGGCCAACAGACCCAAAGACTTAACACAGATTTTAATGCATGAGATAAACTGAGTGTAATACCAGCCATGTACAAAGCAACAGAGGCCTGTGCCTCCAAAGGGCTGTATTTACCCAAAGTTTTCCAAGTACCAAAGTTGACATCTTCATGCCTACTCAGTACTATGGGGGAGGGGTTGTGTTTGTTTGGTTTTGGGGTGTTTTTTACATCTATTCTGAGTCTTGAACTCAGAGCTCTTTTGCTCAAGGCTAGTGTTGTACAACTTTGAGCCACAGCAGTTCCTTGGGTTTTCTTATGGCCCATTGGAGATGTGTCTCATGGACTTCTCTGCCTGGGTTGGCTTTGAATAGCAATTCTTAGATCTCAGCCTCCTGAGTGTGTAGTATACTGGCCATAATCCACCAGAGCCAGGTTTCAGCACTTATTTATATGTTGCTACATTGCTTAAAAAAAAAAAACAAAACCAACAATGAAAAAGCTGGACTTGGGTTTGGGAAGACTTGGACTTGGCTCAGTGGTAGAGCGCTTGCTTTGTATGCATGAGGCCCTGGTTTTGAATCCTCAGCACCACATAAGCAAAAAGAAAAAAAGACGGAAGTTGCGCTGTGGCTGAAGAGGTAGAGCGCTAGCCTTGAGCTGAAGAGCTGAGGGACAGTGCCCAGGCCCAGCAATCAGGCCCCAGGACCAAACAAAAAAAGAAAGAAAAAAAAAAAAGGCCGGACTTATATCGCCCTCGTGTGGTCACATTTGGAAACTACAGGTCCAGATAGATTAAACCTATACTCTGGGACATTTATATGTCTACCATTTTTTCTTCTTCATTAAACATCTTCTTTGACTTAAATATATATATATATATATATATATGTATATATATATATATATATATATATCAGAGATTGAAAATGTGGCTTAGTGGTAGAATGCTTGTCAACATGCATGAAGCCCTGGCTTTGATTCCTCCAACCACATGGAAAAGGCTGGAAGTGGCAGTATGGTTAAACGGGTGGAATTCTAGTCTTGAACAAAGGAAGCTCAGGGACAGTGCCCAGGCCCTTAGTTCAAGCCCCAGAACTGAACATAAATAAATATATCTCAACTGAGAGCAAGTGGCTCATGCCAGAAGTGCTGTTGTGGCTCAAATTGGTATAGTATTAACTTTGAGTGATAATAGCTTTGAGTGCCCAAGCCCTGAGTTCAAGCCCCAAGGAATGACACAAAAAGAAAATCACTATTAAAGACATGTAGTGTGGATCCTGCTATACTCCTACCTACTCAGGAGGCCGACTTCTCCCATTCATGGCTTGAAACCAGCACTGATAGGAAAGTCTGGGGAATTCTTATTTCCCAAAGCAGGAAGGGAATCTGTGACTCAAACAGCACAGTAACCTTGACCAAGAACACGCTGAGAGACAGCACACAAGCCATGAGTTCAAGCCCCAAGACTAGCACATACACACAAAGGAAAATCCCTCAAGTGAGAATCTTGTCTTCAGGTCTCTTCTCAAAGGCTCAACTCAGCAACAGATCTGGGCAGTCCACAGAAGAGGTAAGGACTTTGTTTTTTTGTTTTGTTTTTGGGTCTAGTCGTGGGGCCTGAACTCTGGGCCTGGGCGCTGTCCCTCAGCTCTTCAGCTCAATGCTAGCGCTCTATCACTTGAGCCACAGCGCCACTTCCAGCATTTTTTTTCTGCTTATGTGGTGCTGAGGAATCGAACCCAGGGCCTCAGGCATGCGAGGCAAGCGCTCTACCACTGAGCCACCTTCCCAGCCTGAGATAAGGACTTTGTACAAGGAGATCTTCCAGTTTACCAACACTTTCTCTAGATATCTTCTGGCGAATTTCACAACTCAGAAAAGTTCCCTCCCAGGTCATGATGAACACCTAGTACCACAGTCAGCTCTGTCCCCACGCCCACACCATGTCACCTGACCTGTAGCACTGCCTTCCTCCTGCATGTCATGGTCCTTCCTTGCTCTCTTACACACCCTGCCACCTTTCTCTTCTGCTAGCACACATGCTCCACAACCATGACAGTTCTGACCTCCTTTGACTTTCTGAGCGATTACAAATTCAATCTGCAGACCAAGCCAAAGGCCTAAGAACCACATTGTTAAGTAGTCAGAGCACAGGCCCTGCTGTCTGGCAGGAGATTCCTGTGTTAATTTGTTTTTGAGATTGAAGCTGAGCAGAAGGGAGTGTTTTGGTCAGGGTTGAAAGGACCAAGTCAGCCTTAGAGGGAAGGCAGGGCACAGCAGGAAGCACAGCGCCTCTCGTGGCAGCAGGAGGCAGAGCAGGGCAGTAACAGGGTGCAGAGAAACACAATCCCCAAGGAACCCACACACAGTGGAGTCCCAACTACCACAGTCCACCAGCTTCCAGAACTGTCTTCAGGTTTTCAATTTTCCACCTGATGACACTCTCCCTAAGTCAGAGCTCTCATGACCCATTCTCCTTGAAATGCCCTGACACACACATGTGGACATGAACTCCACTAACTTGCAGATCCTCTCAGCCAATCAAGATGGGGACCAAAATTCCTTCTTGACTCTGCTCTTCAATCCAGGAATTTGGGTGGGAGCAGAGCTGGGATTAACCAGAGCTGAGGGCAGGTGGAGGGAAGGTGGGCAGAGAAGATGCAGAGGATCAGGAAGGGAGCTCACAGGAGAAACCTGACATCCCTCCTCTCTGCTCTTCCCACAGGTGGCTCCCTTGAGGGCACTGGGGACAGCACAGAACCACACTGGAGGCAGCAGTGCTAGAAGGAAAGCAAGCTGCCTCACATTGCCTTTCTCCTCACCACACACACCCTGTGCAAGGCTGCCTGGTGCTTTGGGAGGCAGTGACAGGAACACACCCCGTGCTGCTGTCACAGGGACACCCAGAAGGCCAACAAGACACCAGCTCATGCAGGATGACAAGAAGGGACATAAGTATGGAGAAGAACTGATGGTGCCTTAGTAGAGGACTCAGGCCTGAGCCTAGTCTCACCTGCACAGTCTGTGCTGTGTCCTAGACAAAGGAAAAGCCCCTCTGGTCATAGGTGCTCATGGAGAAGGTTCTAGGCAAACAACACAACTGAGGAGCAGGGAAGACAACCCAGGTGAGGACTGAATACATGACAGTCCAGAATGCACTGAGCTCCTATCCACACCTGCCTGTTCTCAGGCTAACCCTGGCCCCGCCCACAACACAGCTCAGCAAACATGACAATTCTGGAATTTAATCATGTTTGATTTTCTAATTCAATTTTGGGAATCATTCATTGATTTATTCAACATTTTTCCATGGCAACAATTTGAAACACAGACCCACATCCGTATTCTCTTTATCAGTGGGGAAGCAGCAGCTGCAGCTCAGAGCAAGGGAAAGTGAAGTCAGGGTTGGGGAAGCCCTGGCCCCGCCTCTGCTGGAGCAGCAGCTGGAGGGGAAAGAGACCCAGGTCAGTGTGGGGAGGGTCCTGGTGCTCAGGGCTGGACTGGCTCCTCAGTTCCTCACAGGAGGCTGACAGCACACAGAAGCCTGCACACGGTCAGAACCCAGGTACAGGAAGAGAAGTCAGGAGCTCATGATGTCCCAGGAGGGAGGAGGAGAGGCAGGAACAAATGCTGTGCCTCTCAGAGCCACACAAAGCAGCTATGTCACACTGCAGGAGAAAAGAACAAGCACAACAATGCAGATCAGTCACTGTTAGCGACACACTCTGAGCAGGCCACTAACACCCAATGCACAGACCCTTCAACTACAACACAGCCTTCCCTGGGCCTCAGCCCTGCCCCCCATTTAGGGTCTCAAGGTTGTCACCTTTTTCAGCTCTGAGGGAAGCATCAGAACCCTGGTCACTGTCGTCTCCTGTGGTGGAAGAGAGGAGCTGGTTAGAGAACACAGGGGTCACTGGAGGAATTCCGGGGTGCATGAGCTCCCACAGGTCCTGTCTGCACCACAACAAAGGTCACCTCCTCCCCCATGGCACTCACTTGCAGCCTTATCATAGCCTTCTCTCTTGTCACCTGTAGGAGAAACACCATGTGAGAGGCAGGTCACAAGCAGTGCCATGAGGGCCTGGATGAACCCCTAGCCGTGACCTCATGGGAAGTTTCTAGAAATGTGACCATAGAACCAAGGAAGCATCAGGAGAGAGGAGTGCAACAGTTGGGAAGAGAGACCCCAGGACCTCCTGGAGTGTGACCTCAGTGGGCAGCTGAGTCCCTGTGGGCCTGAGTGCTGCAATCAGTTCCCATCACCACCTCAGGAGGGGGAATTTTGTGACCTTCGTGTTCCAGGTGATTTACAGAAGAGGAGCTGTCAGGCTGGGGAAGGCTCTGAGTGTGCTGCAACTTCCATTAGGAGTGCAGCTCACACTTCTGCCTGGGGCCTGAAACCCACAAGTGGCCCAGGAACTGAGACCCCCCCACCTTCCTATCTCCAGTCCTCTTCCTGCACAGCACAAAAACCAGCACAGCTACAACAACCAGAACTGCAAAGATGCCCACGCCAATGACAATTCCAGGCGGCGGGAGCTCGGCGGAGGGCGGGCCAGGTTGACTGGTCCAGGCCATGCCGAGGAAGAAGCTCTTCAGCGTGAAGCAGAAGAAGAAGCAGTTGCAGGATAAGCGGGAGCAGAAGCAAGGTCAGTGCGGGAGGAGGGGGCGGGGCCCGGGCTCCCGCACCTCTGGAAGGAGGGGTGTGCCCGCCGCACCTCTGGAAGGGGGGGGGGATGGGTGGTAGGCCCGAGAGGATCTGCGTGGGAGACCGCAGAGGGGATTCCCCGACTCCAGTCCCCTGCACCTCGGGAAGGAGTGGGGAAGGAGTTGGGGGAAGGGGGTCCCTCCTAGCTCCAATGGGGCGCCATCCTCCAAGTTCCCCGGCGGAGTGACTACCCCCCCTCCCCAGCATCCCGGGAGTGTCCGCCCGGGAAGGGAGCTGGGAGGTCTGAGGCCCAAGAGAAGTTGGGTAGGCTGGAGACCTGGCTGGCCGGGTTGGGGGTCCTTCAGTCCCTGAAGAGTGGGCCAGCACTGGCGTCACCGGCCCCTCCCCGCAGGGCTTCAAGATGGGCTAAGCTCCAGTTCCAACAGCCGCAGCGGGAGCCGGGAGCGGCAGGAGGAGCAGACCGACACCTCGACACCTCGGACGGGGAATCTGTGACCCATCACATCCGTAGGCTCAACCAGCAGCCTTCCCAGGGCCTGGGGTCGAGAGGCTACGATCCAAATCGGTGAGGGAGGGAATGGGGCGCCCACCTGGAGATCGGAGTGTGGGCAGTAAAGGTAGCTGCTTCTGCTACTGCTGCTGTTACTGCTACTACTACTGCTACTGCTTCTACTGGAGACTCGAAAGAGGAGACAGTGGGGTTCTTTCTGGAGCAGCCTATAATCCTCCCTTCTAGAGGGGCTGCAGAGTTTTGCTTTTAAAAGTAGTTGAAAGGATCTTTCTTGACAGACAGAGTAGTGGGTAGTGGGGGGGAGGCGGTGTGTTAGGCCTACTGAAAGAGACTTGAACAGGTTGAGATTGGAAGGTTTATGAAGTTGCCCGACAAGGGAGAAAACTGGGAGTGTGTGTCTGGATGTGTGGTCCCTGTTCTTTTAGGTACCGGCTGCATTTTGAACGGGACAGTCGGGAAGAGGTGGAGAGAAGAAAGAGAGCAGCCAGAGAACAAGTACTAACTCCTGTCAGTGCGGAAGTGCTGGAGCTGGATATCCGAGAAGTCTATCAGCCAGGCTCAGGTAAGTGAGAGCAAGGCATCTGGATGTTTCTCATCAGCAGTGCTCTTGGGGAAGGGTAAGAGCTGTCTCATATCTGCTTGGACTTTTTCCTGATTTCCTAGTCTTGGACTTTCCCCGACGTCCTCCTTGGAACTATGAGATGTCCAAGGACCAACTAATGAGCCAAGAGGAACGGAGCTTCCAGGAATATCTTGGGAAGATACATGGAGCTTACACTTCTGAGAAGCTCAGCTACTTTGAACACAACCTGGAGGTGACAGTGGAGTGGGGTCCAGCAGTTGGGGCATTATGACCCTGGAAAAATTGGTCTGGGGTCAGTTTGGACAGGACTCTGGGTTAGATTCTCTTCCATTGGTCTTGTCTTTTTAGACATGGAGGCAGCTGTGGCTGGTGTTAGAGATGTCTGACATTGTCCTGCTCATCACTGATATCCGGCATCCAGTGAGTACTTGGTTTGGGAGTGGGCAAAGGGGAAGAGGGAGGAAAGTTCTTGTAGGGGAAGGTGAGCGGCTGGAATCAGAACATGGAGAGGTACCTTTTCCTATTCATTTTTGTGTTTTCTTTCAGTACTGGGATTTGTACTCAGCTTGGTGCTTGCTAGGCAAGTGCTTTACCACATAAGCCACATCCTAAGCCTTTCTGCTTTAGTTTCGGATAAGATTTTGTATTTTTTGTCTTGGGTCAGCCTTAGACTGAGATCCTTCTACATATACCTCTCTCATTATTAGCCCCAGCTTGTTTTTTGAGATATGGTCTCACTGTTTTTGTCCAGGCTGGCCTCAGTCCGTGATCTTCTTATCTCTGCTTCCTGCAAAACTGGGGCCTCCTTTGTTTTTGCAGCTCCCTCTAATGTCTACAATCGGGAATTTAGTCCCACTCAACCCCAGGTGTTTTGTGCTGGTACCAGGGTTTAAATTCATGCTTTCAGTTACCTTTTTCCACTCAAGGCTGGCATTCTACCACTTAAGCCACAACTCTACTTCCAAAGTGCTCATTTTGTTTTTGTTGTTTTGTTTTTGTTTTTGTCCCAGTACTGGAGCTTGAAATTGGCCTGGGTGCTATCCTTAACTTTTTTTTGTTTGTTTTTTTGGGTCCGGTTGGGGAGCCTGAACTCTGGGCCTGGGCGCTGTCCCTCAGCTCTTCAGCTCAAGGCTAGCGCTCTACCACTTGAGCCACAGCGCCACTTCCGGCTTTTTTCTTTTTGCTTATGTGGTGCTGAGGAATCGAACCCAGGGCCTCATGCATGCAAGGCAAGCGCTCTACCACTGAGCCACCTTCCCAGCCCGGAATTCAGTTTTTTATTCATCTCTTGTCATATTCTTTCACTTCTCCCCTGTCCCGATGACTTTCTTTTGTACTTCCCTTGATGAAAAACTGCATGTCCTGTCTTCTATCCTACCAGACCTAGACCAACAGAAAATTCCAGGGATTCTGTGGAGGCAGCTGGGGACTTCCCCTGCCCATCCCAAAGATGCCCTTTCTTCCTTATCTCATTTCTCTAGTGCGGCCACATCAATTGCAACAGAATCCACCTGGAATGTAGGGTAGTGGTTAAGGCCATAGACTGCTGCTGTGAATCCTGACTCTGCCACTTCACTGTTGTCCTTCAGTAGAAAGAGGAAGGTCTGTGGAGGACATTTTAGGTTAGAGTTTCTAAATGAACCTACACGCACATACAAATACACATGTGCATGTGTACATCCATATACACAAGCACATTCACACACTCATGTTCACAGTCATTCATACTGAGCACATCACACGTGCACATACCTGCATGCATGCTTTTATGCATGTCTACCCACTTGTACAGATTTTTGCACACAAAAACAGGTATTACTTTCTACCTCAACCTCCATTCCTGTTTTGATCCTAGCCCTTATCTCAATATGCTAGGTGTTGCTATTTTCTTTTCATATCTCTCATTGATTTTTATATTTAATCATGACCTCTAGGAAGCTCCATGAGACTTGCACAGGTATTACTAACCCCTGCTTTGTCTTTTTTGTTCAGTTTGGCTGGTTTACTGTTTTTACTCCAGAATCTGCTACTGCCAGGGTCTTGTCTGGGAGCTGTGCCTTGTGAGTGGGGAGCTGGAGGCAGAGATCTCTGAGTGGACCTCTCTTCACACCATTCCCTTAACTACTTTGTCCTAGGTTGTGAATTTCCCACCAGCACTTTATGAGTATGTGACTGGAGAACTTGGGTTGGCCTTGGTGCTGGTCTTGAACAAGGTGGATTGGCCCCACCAGCTCTCGTGGTTGCCTGGAAGCATTATTTCCACCAACACTATCCCCAGCTCCACATCGTCCTTTTCACTTCTTTCCCTCGGGACCCTCGAACTCCACAAGAGCCTAGTAGTGGTGAGTGGGCAAGGAGGAATATATCATGGAAGAAACGGGTGGCAGGGGACAAAGGGAAGAGCAGAGAAGCTTACTGGCGAGGGGTAACTTGATCTTGGGCCCAAAGGTGGTGGGAGAGATGGGCTGTAGAAGCCCATTTCCTAATCCTCTGGTGCCATCTCATCTCAGTCTTGAAGAAGAGTCGGAGGCGGGGAAGAGGATGGACTCGAGCCTTGGGGCCAGAGCAATTGCTGAGAGCCTGTGAAGCCATCACTGTGGGAAAAGGTATGTGCTTGTTGGAGTGGGGAGGGGGAGAGGTGGGAGCTCACAGGCGAGACCTGAGGCTTGGAGTCATTTTGCTCATCTTTCTGGAAGTCAGTCTCTATTATAGATATGCAGAGGGATGAAATAAGGAGCAGACAGGCACAAGGTAAGCAGGAGCCACATTGGCTTTGTTACCTTACATCTTCCATGAACTCTTTAGAAACTCAGACCAAAATGCACATGATTCCAGAGTGGGGTCAAATGAAGGCTGGAATTCTCTGGCTTGAAGTTGTACAGGTTGGCACTCTATGATTCCA